GAGTTAAAAAGTGATTCACAAGATAGAAAATCAACCAGCAATAAAACATCTGAAAAAAGCTGTGGTTGATAAAGGGGAGATGAAAGTGAGCGAGAAAGTAAATTAACAATGTAAAAACAGGTAAATTAAGGACAAATATAAAGTGTTTTAAACACACTTTGTAAGATGTTGCATCACTGAGAAGAAATAATAAAAAAAATCATTGAAGCCAACATAAAATAACTCAAAGGGGGAAAAAAGGGTCTTAGAGCATAGAACATAAGGAGCTCGCCAATCTGATCTCCTTGGGGCGGTTGTTCCAGAGAGCAGGGCCCTGACAGAAAAAGCCCGGTCACCCTTGGTCCTCAGATCAGTGGCCAGCAGAGCCTTGGCTGAGCACATTCAGTGGGTCAGCTGCAGCATTTCATATGTGAGATACACTCAGCGTATTTATTTCACAAGTATCATTGGGATTTAAAGAAATGCACTGCTGCGTGTGATCTGCATAAGAGTGAAAACTAATATCTATTTATTTTTACATGCAACCAAAACTTGAATGTTCAATAACCTAATTCTAAATATATTTTTGATATTATTTAAACACTGTCTGCTAATATGCTCACAGTGGTTCTGACTTATTCTGCAGACCTCTAAAAATACAATCTGCACTTGTGAGGTTGTATTGAACAAGGCCTTCGTATTTACATGAAGGTAAAAATAAAGAGCTATTTAATCCCACTAAACTATCTATATACACCACTGATGAAGTGACCAAAGGAAGTATCAGGTGTCATGCTTTTGTTTGGCGTTACCACAAGAAAAGTACTTGAAGCGTATAGATGTCGCTGTTCTGTTTATTCTCTGAAGCCTCCCATTAAATAGAATAGGTCCTTTTTAATTTCCTGCAATCCATGCCACTGGCTCTACTGGCTCTTCCAGAACTTCGTCCTCCAAAGCACTTTTCATATGGTTTTGATAAAATACAATTAATTTAAAGCATAGAGGATAAAACAAGAACAAAGAATACAGATCAAAGCATAACAAAATGAAAGAAGTGTCAGTGTATATAATTAAAATATATACAGAAATATACTACAGAAGTATTGTGACGTATGTGACACAAATAATCTCTTACTCAGGCAGATTGATTACAGATGAACAGTTGAGTAGAGCTTAAATAATTTTTACACAAAAACTAATTGCAGTTATTTTGCCTCTGGCTCTCGTCATTGTGCCAGGTAGGGGCTCAACTTGTTCTTCACTTCTGATTTGTCCACTGCCACCGAAAATGTTATTTCGAGCACGTTTTTTAAATTGTCACAGGCAACATGCTCAAAATGGCACGGGCCGAGCTGCTGTGACTTCAGAAATCCTCGGCATATTTCTGCTGTGCTCACACACGCACACACATGATCCTCAGATTGTTGGGAACACGGAATTTGTCTTTTATGTGAATTAAATACGATCTTCTTGTGGGCCTCTCTCCTTCCTGTTCCGCTTTCCATTTTATGTTCATTTCCATTCCCGGACAAAGCCGTCTCTCCACGGTGTATTAATGCCCATCAAAGGCCTCAATCAAGTTGCTTTGCCACAGGCTAAAGTCAAACTTGAGAGGCTAAAGTTTAATGCTGTTAGTGCAGTGAGGATGTGGGCTCATGTCTCTTCCTTGTCCTGGAGTTTATTTTTAACCCCAACATCCACAGATATCTGGTAAGTCCAGTTAGTGGAATGAGGCGTCTGAAAAAACAGCACTCGCTGAAAGTGCCATTTCAAGGTCACTGACTATGACAACAGCCTTTTTCATTGTGCCATTAGGACAATGTCTTCATATGTTTCACTGGGAAAGCGGAAAATTCATTAAATATAACATAATTACACAGGGCTTCCTTAAAAATTAGTCACGGCTGTGAGTCAGTAGACTCGTGGTTTCAAAGTATCCGGCTATAATAAATGTTTATGAAAAAGCTGCCGACTGTCTGCTGACATTTTCACTTCCTGAGTGGAATATTGGGCTTTGTATCAGTCCTAATTAAACTTTAACCTTTCAGTTCCATCTGCTACTTGATTTGAGATATGTTTTGGGCAATGCATCCACTAAGTGCACAAAATTAACACAAGACATGAATTTTACAGTCATAAATCCCCATTTTCCCCCCAAGTTAAGTGTGAAATTAAAGCTAAAGTAAGTGGAAAAAATGCTATAAATCATGGAATAGAAAAAGTCAGTCTTCATACAAAATGCACGTCTTTCTGGTGCTGGTTAATGTACTTGTAATAACATGCAATTAAAACTATATTGGATTTGGTCAAATGAATGTTCATCAAGGGGCTCTAACCATGTGAACCTCATTATAGTTACTTAGTTAAACTTCTGTCATCAGTCGTCACTTCTCTCTAAAGGAATTTGACTAAATACTGGACTTTATAAAGACAGATGCAAGCCGAGTTTTTGGAAGTAAAATATGATCCATGTGTGAATGCATTCATTGTGTATGTGTGTGTGTGTGTGTTGTGTGCTTTAATGCTCCATTATTCACTGCAGGTGGGCCTACTGTTAGGGGGACGCTTCCACTCACGGTGCCAGAAAACTGACACGTAAATAATTTTTTAGTAGTGAGGACCCCAATCCCACAAGCTCTCGCTCTGACCTTCCTGGGCTGCAAAAAACAAAGAGTGTCCAAAGTTCTTGTAAGATCAGTTAGTAAAACTGTGGATACTTCTTCTGTTTTTTGTCCGCTGAATAAAAGGAGACCAGATTATGTTTGTGGCCAAAGCATGAAGCAACCTCTAAACACACCAAGAAAATTCAAAAGGAATAATAAATTATGCTACATTTCATCTTTATTTGCAGCCATCACATTAGGTAATATTCTGACACTTAGGATACAAGTTTTTATCTCTGAAAGGATTCATTAATTAATCGATTCTTTCTTGATTCGCATGCAGTGTACAAGAAGCCACAAGCTCATCAGTTATCGTCAGGTTCTCTGCTAAGAAAAAGCCCAGACAGAAGTATTCTGTTCTAGCAGGTTGACAATTAGTTTAAGTGATCATGAACTCTGGTTCACTGCCATAAATCATCCTTCTGGCAAAAGGAGGAGTGAGTTCAAAGCAATTAGATATTTGTTTGACAGCAAAAGATGCAACATAAACTGTTGTAAAGTCACTTTATCTCTTCCCTGAGGACAGTCAGTTTACAGCAGAGTGTGAGCCAGGTTTTCAGAGCATGAACATTGCATCAGACATGCAACTATGGACACCTTTCATTCTCATGGATTTAATTTGAAATCCAATCAAGTCAAAGCAGCAGATTTCTGCTCGTCTTTCACTCGCTTGCTTTCTTTTCTTCCCTCGGACATAAAACGCGTGTGTGCATGTGTCCACCATGTGTGTGTGACAGTATGAGCTTACTTGTGCCTTGAATGCAGTGTGTGTCCGTATATAATGTGAAGCGAGCAGTTCATCCGTCTTTCTTTCTGCTGCTTGCCCATAAGCTCTTTGAGTATATGCAAAACAAATGTGCACTCCACTGGAAGAGCAACTAACACACACACACACACACACACACACACACACACACACA